AAAGTTGAACACTAGGCTGAAGAGATAACAAGTGCATCCAGCAAAACACTCGTAAGGGGTTTCCAGTGATTTCTTTTGGTTACAGTAAGGATAAAATAGTAATACAGACGTTTTCAAACTTGGCTAGAGATGCCTCAGGTATTCGGAGTTTGATAAAGCTTTTGCACGTGACGCCATGATCGAAGTATATCAACACACTCAAATCAGAGATGAAGGTATCCAGAGATACACTTTGGGGCTATCAATATGTCGAGAAGCGTTCGGTCTAAGCAAGGGATTGTGGCACAGCGTAACCACTCGTGATCTGGTGGAGATGTGTGATCGAGGGGCTTCAACTAGGTGTGCTCGATAAACCTAATAAAGTTGACATCAATGTCGAGGACACGGAATTATATGTTTGTGATTTACTTGTGACAAAAGTCATAACATTTCATCTCGTTTGTAATCATTTAGACCTACAAACGTTTTTACCTCTATTGTTCTAATAAATAAAAGAATACCTTTATTATTGGTTTCAGGCTCGGACGTTTATAGAAGTATTAAGATTACTCGAACATTCAGGTTGCTAATTTCAGAGTTCATATGATCTCGTCACGTGTCTGATTCGAATTTTCCACCAAATGAAATATTCTTCGTGACATTAACTATGAGATTTTCCGTGAATTAAATATGATTTACTGGGTCTGAATTTTCGAGTCATTTTTAAGATAATTTACGTTGATACACGTATGTTGTTTGCATACAAATGTATTAAGGTTTTTTGTGTCTAGTGAAGTCGGATTTTTCATTGTTGTTATTCACAATTGTGTAGTGATTTATTTATATCAACAGAACGCGATTGGTGCGATAGAAACAGTTACTATTATAACCAGTTGTACCAGGGATCGTTTAACTGTACTAAGAACATACAATCTTCCATTGATTATCACCTTGCACGAACTCGGTTACTCTCAGTAACCACACTTTGACTCATTTGGAACGTTCTCGGTATTCCTTCAGTGCCACGAGGTCGCCAACAAATACATCTCGATTACAGCCATCAACTGCCTACTGATATTTGGCCTACGGGGGATCTTATCGACTAACTGGCACGTTGTTTTTCTGTAGTGGTGATCATAATCAACCGCGACGCGACGCTATAGTACAGTTGCATACAAACCTCTGTATTTTATGTGTTCAATTTCCATCACCTCTCAAGCTTTAAAACACATTTTTCTGGGGAACAGTTTTTGTTAATGTTCTTCCTGTGAGGTCACAAATATATTTATAGCTCAAGTGAATCATCGTTGTGGGAGACCTGCATGCCGTTTCTCTGTCAGAGATTAAATGCAATCTGGCAACTGCAATAAGCGGTATCATAATTTATGTATCAGTACCACACCGACTGCATGAAGGTTTTGCGAACCACTATCAAGTTGGCTGTGTAAACATGCTGCTCTACAAACTGTCTAGTTATTCCTGAGGAGATTGAGCTGTTGAATCTAGCTAGAAAACTGCTCTCAGACACACAGGCTGCAATACATTAGCAAATTTTTTTTGAAGAAATATGGAGTGCTATCACGAACCTAGCTTCGGATTTGAATAAGGCCATCAGGATTGGCTCCATTAGAGAACCGAGGAACAATCACACAGTAGTAGGTATTATTTCAAGACAAAAGAAAAGGCACATTGAGAAGAAATGAATGATAGGCAGCACTGAGCTATTTGTATCCTGTCCCGGATGGACATTTCGACACAAAACAGTCTGCGATGGAGCAGAGTAGTGTAGATGATGTGATCAAGAGAAATAATTTAGATGATTTAATTATAATAACACATAAAAAAATTAAGTAAACGGAGTGCGAAATCTGCGTCCGACATGTTATCGGATTGCAGGGAGTAGATTTCATGAATTAAAATTATAAAACGCGTTGAGACAGACCTCGCTAGATAAGTCATTCATTTTTCATAAGTTAAGAGAATCTTCCGAAAAGGAGCCAAAAACTAGATTTGAACACAATCTCAGCCACATTATATCATTACTAATCTATCTACCCAGAGAAACAGTTTCCAGATTTAGCATCTCCAAACTTTACAGGATAGGATAAAAATGGATCCCGAAATTACTCACAAAAGCCACTTCTTAAAGATTACCTTTGCTTCAGCTGAAGAAAGGAACCTGATTTTGGGAAACTCACGCAAACTGATTTGATCCGATATATATGTACCTGAGTATCTCAGCACTGTTGGTTGTATTTAGAGACGATCAGCAGTAGTAGTAGCAAATAGGCGCCACCTAAACGGTGAAAAACCTCGTATTTAGAATGTTCAAACTGTAAAAGTTCAGAGCGAAACGATCCTCAAACCACTCAGTTGGTAACAGAAGGCTGTTCGCAGAATTAAAGATTTGCTGTAAAAATGTTCACACCAACAAAATAAAATTGCATAGCTCAGGAAAATGGATGACATAGAAAACTACGATGTCCTTACCATTTCAGATGTATGGTTAACTTCAGATGAGTAGTGTGGTGAAATTTAGTTAGTTGGGCTGATATACTAAACCGTTGTGGTTTTGAGGTTATCCTGTACACAAAAAAATACCTTAATCATACGAGTCGTCAAGACAGTGGCACATGATTCAGGAACATGTAAACTGGTGGACGGAAGGCCAGAATTTAAACTGCAAGATCTTGAATTAGTTGTAGTATACCGCAGACCAGAATGTGTAGTAGGTGAATTCCCTCTACGAATACGTAAGTCCTCCTGAAATAGAAGTAAAATCCTAATAGTAAAAGACTTAGATAAATCGTAGAAACTTAGAAGTGGGGTCATTAATAACACTATTTGATTGCTTTATTCCAGTATATTAGTGATATCAACAGACATGAATTACGAAGCCCCTCGTCTCTCTTGGGTCTAATAATCGCATGGTGATTCCAGTCAAGAACCTTTACTCCGTTCTCTAGATACAAATGATTATGCGAATTCGTGGCTAAGGTAGACTGTGAAATAGTCGCGACAACTAGTCCTAATACAGAGAAGGCAGAGATGAAGGCAATCAACTTTGTTGCATAGGCTCAAAACAGGATAATTGACTCAGGAGCATTAGTATAAGAGGTATCCGTGGAATTCGAAAACTCCTCGGTTCACCATACACAAGCAGGCTTGAAAATTTGAACTTTACCACTCTGTCTTATCGCAGATTAAGGTGACCTGATTTTGATGTAAAGAATACTAAGATTCTGAACTTAATGTATCGTCTTTTTTTATTCCCACTAGAAATACCCGTGGCATACAGGTATTCACACCGAGCAATCAAAAATTGGAACCTGTTACTTGATGCAGTGTTGTCCGGAACTTCAATTGACTCATTCAAGAGAAGACTAGATACTCACAGAAGCATACTAGAAAAAGAATTACATAGGTTGTGGGACTTCTGTTCTTACTGCACTAATAAAACTGGATAAAAGCATTAATTTTCATTGCGAAATGCTAAGACTTCACCGTTATCTGAATAAAACACACCCGATAACTGATCCCATAACCTGTTCCGAGAATATCAAGTAGATTTGTAGTGGCATTGGACCGTAACCACACAATCCTCAAAGCTCAATACGAGATTACTCGGAAAATAGATATCCAACATTTAACGCGGATAAATACCTAACGATGTAAAAGGCGCGAACAAGGAGTTTAATGAATTGTAGTTGACCGAATGGCATAGCTCGACCTTGCAGGCGTGGTCCCTGCTGAATATTACTTTATATCTTTTATTCATATTAAATATATTGTTCTTTCTCTAGCTTAAGCTTGTTCTCCATCTTGTATTCGTAGTTGTTACGATACAGTGAGTTGGCGTAGACGATGATGTGACTTCCACGTAATGTCTTATAGATTAGACGGTTATATCATGACAAATCTACAATTTTAGCATCAGGTCTATTATTAGAGCAGTACTAATATCATAGTAGACCATAATTCTACAGATTTTCGTGTAACCCAATCTACATCGGTTTAAATTATAGTGTTCGTGGATGGTGCAGCTGATTTTATAGGAATATCGAAATAGTGGTGAAGATGGCACAGGTAGTCAGTGTTCGACAACGCTTTTACCAATAACACCTAATATAATTCGTACCCACCAAGAGAAATCAAAAGACAGAATCGAGGAGATCAGAAGTTGTATTTGACGACTGTCAATATATCGGTATTGTCTGATCTAGTCTGGCTAGCGATTGCAGTAGATGTTGAGCACGGCGTTCCCACACGTGATATGGTGCGGATGCATGACCGAGCGCCTTCAGCTAGGTGAGCCCATTAAAACATGTGGTCAGCATCCAATGTCGGAAAATTATAGAGCTATTTATTTTGGGGATTTATTTACCGCTCAGTGGTATTGATTTTCCAAGTTATATTTGTATGTTCAATGGAAAATAACGTGTTTACTTCATTGGCATATCAATTGTTACTTCAAACTATATTTTATAGGCATATTTGCGTCATATCCCCTTACTATGATAAAACAGCATCGAATGTTTGGTAGAAAAACATAGAATGGAGAAGAAAAATTACACAAAAATTCCTTGCAAACTATACCCTGCCCTAAATCGTCAAAGCAAGGAGTTCAACAATAGTTTCCACTCTTTTATATTTCAGATGAAGTTCAAGCGAGTAGCTTTTAACCTAGTAATAACATAGAAGATAACACGTGTATTTGGAAGTGCGAACACCTTCTACTATGATTCGTAAACATCAAGTGCAATCAAAAGACAGAAGCGAGGAGGTTCAAAGACGTATTTGATAGGTTGGGAATATTTTGAGGATCGACTGATCCAAGCTGGCTAGTGATTGCACGTGATGTCGAGCACGGCGTTCCCACTTGTGCTCTGATGCGGATGCATGACCGAGAGCCTTAAGCTGGGCAAGTTCATTGAAACTAATATGGTCAGAATCCAACATTTATTTACCGCTACAACGTTACTGCACCTTTCATAATGCAATGGTTTGTAAATTTCGTAATACAAAGTTCATCGTTCAATATTTGTGTACACTTCTCAAAATTGTTGAAGGTCGTTCGTCTCGTTCTGAACATAATCACGAAAGGAGGAACACATCACATGGTTTATAATATATTTTTAACTTGAACGTGCCAAAACAAGGAATCGTCGTCATTTATCCACACGGTGCCAACTAAAACAGGTCGAGTAAATAGTGCTCTATTTAAACTATATATATATAATCATTCATATTACAAAAGACTATAATTTCCTGCTATTCAAGCAATCAGTAAATATAAGGCGCTTGAGCTAAATCGCATGGAATATCTGCTCCTGATGTATGTATCGTGTCAGGTACCCAATGCATATTTAAGGTTGTGTAATGTGGCTAGATGACTTAAACCGCAGTAAGAGCGGAGAAAAATATTCTGCTCTTGCTGCTCACGTTCAATTCTAGCAACAGATTTGTAAACTAAGTGTTCTTGACGTCATTGCACTACAGTTGGTGTCAATTCGTCATGGGATCCTTAATCCTAAAGTTAGCTAATTTGCAAAGCAAGTTCCTTAACTATTAATGCATAACCCTGACCGTTTTGTATTCTAGCTGCTGTCAGTTTGTGGCGAAAACTTTGTAATACTATGGTGTGCACAACACTGTCCTAATATGTTGACTTCATTTCATTGTCATTTTGTTAATTCTTAATAAATTCTATATAATTGACAACTTTTCGTGATTGTCTGATAAAGTGCTCAATCTCGTCAGTACATTATATCCTTACCTTGGTTCATATCGTTGCTGATTCAGCCTACATAGTATTCGAAAACTGTATTTTATAACCAATAAAACGTAACCGCTCGTAACCTAAGTACATTGTATCTGAACACAGCGCTACAACGCCATGTGTGTTAACGCTGGGTGATGACAACTCATATAAAATCATATTGAAGCTGACTGGCGGCATGGTTATGTGCCTAAAATATCACCACAGATGTTTTTATCTAATGCTCCGATTAACGACTCTTGAACTTGAGATGAAAGCGGATGGCCAGTTAGTCTATGACTCAGGACCGCTTTTTGCAAAGACTAGTAGGATGGCATTCTTTAGACTGTCGCGACTCCCTGTCTAGGGCCCTGCAGGTTGTTTAGTTCAGTGACTTGAGTCGTCTTTCAGATATTGCCTGAAATACAACTTTGATCCTTTACGTCCTTGATATAAGAAAAGAAAATAAACTTCTGCTTCACACGAAAATAGGTCTGTCAGATATATATTTTTTATATCTGCGTCTAGTTTAAAGCTAGTTTCTTAATACATTTTCGTAAGACATCCTGCCTACTGAGATCCCCACATAAGTGAGCATACTTGTTTCTATAATATCTTGAAATGAAAATATAAGATTACCGACAGAAAAAAAAAGGAAAAAGTACCATGATAGTCTTACAAAGTCGTGAATAAATCAAAATGTCCGGGAATAGCAAGACCTGTGGGTAAAATAGGAGTTACGTTGCGGTATGCAACTACAAACATGCGTGGTTGCGACAAGTTCCACGTGTTCTAAAGAATTTAAAAGTCTATGGCAGGGCAGTTTATTCTATATTGTTCTAGAGAATTGAGTTTCTTAAGACTATAAAAGTAAGGACGAATACAGAGAAACACCTAACACAATAAAAGCGCCACCATGTCCGCATCTCTTACCCAGAAACTTCATAATGGTGAACATAAAGTCCTCAAACGTTGTCCGGAAGAAAATTTAGCACATCCTTTGTCGTTTTACTCGAGAACGATTTTGTATCTAAAATGTTTTTATTTCAGATATCTATAAGAAGATCTTGGCCTTTAACGAAATGGTTTTGTGCGCAATTTGTTCAATTGAAACTTCCAAGTACAAATGTCCGAGGTGTATTGCACCATAGTATGCTGAATTGTCAGTTCACTAATACTTTAGTTGCTCACTTGCCTGTTACCAAAAACATAAACAAAATGAGTGCAAACCGGAAACCTGTGTACCAAGGGTTGTGCATGCTACTGTCGAACAAGAGGATGAGATGGTCGATTATGTTCCGAAGAAAATTTTAGAAGGCTTAAGTAAGTGTTACTGTTAATTGTCATTCTTACGCAGAATACTCGGATAAAATTCGAAATCTTCTGAAGAACCCTCATCTCCGGAGTCTGCTTCGATTTTTGAATGATACAAATAAACCGTACTCTGCATTGGAAAATGTTATGCGTGAACCTATTTTCGTCGAATTTTCAGATGAATGCCTTAAAATTGTAGACTCAAACTTATAGGTCCAATATACTATTTCTAATATTTTTAAAAATAATTTCCGAATTGTTTTCAAATACAAAAACTTGAACATGGTTCATTCTCTTGTGACTGAATTGTTATGAAAGTTTTAATTGGTAAAGAGATTGTGCTGCTTTAAAATCTACGCAGGATTTTGTGCCGCAGTAGCTTTATAACTAGTTCGTGTTCGTTATTTATTAAGGTCTGCCGAGTTTGATTTGCACATTTATATCACAAATAACAATCATTTGGAAAATATTTAAAAGTAGATCTTCGCGTATGATTTTCAGATAAGTTGTCTGTTCATTGATGGATTAATTGATAGACAGTTGTATTACTACATTTTAGAAGTCTGGTTCGAATAGTTAAGTGCATTGAAATTGTCGAGACTGGATTTCTCTAAAAGTAAGTAGATAAGCAACCTGATGGATATCCGCAAATTTTGGACGAATTATTAAAAGTTGAAAACATTTTACTGGTTATAAACTTAAAATTCAACGAACTGACCAATTTTAAGATTAAAAAACGTTCTGTTTAACTAATTAAGAAAACTCTCTGTACTTTATAGCTACACCAAGGTAATTGTTAGTTGTGATATTCTGTAAAGACGTATACACAGATAAAACCTCTAACATTCGTGAAATATCGATATTTGTATACATGTTTTATTATCTGTCCAGTTGTACAGGTTAATGCAACGGCCTAGTCAAGTGTATCATTTCATTTAATAGTTCTATACAGATACCTGGACGGACATGAAGCCAGTCTCAAACCGCTCACTTTGTGTACAGAAATTCAAATCTCTATACTACTAAAGTGAATCTCAATCCAGACAATAAGTTACTTAGTCATCGGTGCGATTGCAGCTATTAAAGTCGATCTTCAATCGCACTCCGGTTAAGCTCAAATAAGTTTTATGAATTTTCCCGGTCTGCAACCGCAGATTTTGTCAAATATGACATTGACATCCACGGAATTATATCTATATAAGTTTAGTGTCTATTGAATTATAAAAAGCGAAGAAAAGCTTGTTTAGACTAAAAAAGATTTTAATTTTTTTTAAAAACTGACCCGAAAGAAATAAAATACTGGTATTCAAGAAAAAAAGTGAAAACCAAAACACTTCATATTACATAAATATTGGAAGCGGGAAACAAGTACATGAATCAAATCGTAAGCAAATATTCTGGGAAACACCATTTCAAGAGACTGATAGAATACGAACTGTACTTTATTCTACACACGCCATATACGAATGCTTCCATCGTGCGCTGAACTTAACAAACGATCGTCACTGAGCCAACATAATCCAGTGCTATTACTCATAGGATGAGCCGCTTAAAATAAAAAGAAATAATCACGTAGACGATTTTATCAATCCATAGAAATATTAATTACACCTGTTTGTCATGTTTTATAACGAAATAATTCAGTCGATGAAGTCCCAGTTTTAAGCTTATTCTGAAAACATAAATGTTACTACTATAATCACTCGACGTTACGTTAATACATTAATGTGTACATTTTCCCTGGGATAACTGTATTAATTATTAGTTGTAGTACTAAGTGTATTATCATAGAAACGAATGAGTTAAGTCTTCTAGTTATAGCTGTGAACCAGACTCTGTGTCGATTTAATGAGGTAGACAGAACAGATGATGAATTCTAAGATAATGATTCCTACTACAATTTCTGTTAAGTTCTTGAACGTTACCCTCAACATTTCCAGTTTATTTGAAATGTTAATGCGTTACCTAAGACCCAGATCACTAGGCATCGATTCTCAATGACATTTAAATAGAGCAGAAGCAAGTAAAGCAAAGGAACGTATGGATCGTAAGTTGATAAATAACCGTAAACTGTCAACGGATTTAATTATGGTTACAGTTATGGAGATTTTTACTGACAAATTGTCAAGAGGTTTTAGCTTTCTTAAGTTAAATTTATTAATTTTAACATTGATGTAAAATGTTTTGGAAACAAGCTCAAAATTTGAGTACATACAATAAGTGCAAACATGGACTTATACATTTCTTCTATTGCACTTATTTTTACGTTGGCATAATTTTCAAGTATTCACAAACACGTACACAGATAATGAAACCATAACTAAAAGTTCAACATACTAATGTATATTTTACGACAACTGAATGATTAAGATTTTAAAAAAGATTAGAAGATATTTAATCAAAAAGAAAAACCAATTGATTATATAATCTTATCACGATCAATTAATATCTCAAAAAACATATTTCTTTACAATAGTAAAACTGACCTACTGTTGTTGCCGGAAATATTGCTCATAAACATACTAAATTAATACAAGCAATTATACAGCTCATCAATAATTTACCGAAAAGTTTTTTACAGAATTAATGTATTAACCATGTAAAATAATCAACTTTCCAAGTATTTAATATTCTAAGATATCGACTATCAAGTTAAAATAGTCGTGATTTTCCCAACATATGGAATAGATGATGAAAACTTCACAAATCATTCAATTCAATTATGACCAGTTTCTTTTAGTGAAAGATAAATTTGACGTGAAATCACTTACCTGTCAAAACCACCTGTTTTCTTGGTTCATCTAATGACCAAATAACAATAGAACTATCAATACTTCCAGTGGCCAAGCGACGACCATTTGGACTCCAACTGATACAGGTTATTCTAGCTGAGTGTCTGAGCCACCATTCAGAAAGAGCAGATTTAAGAGTTGGGAGGTCATTTTGATTTCCTTCACAAGTCACCTGGAAGAACAAAAGTAATGAAAGGAAATACATTTAAATAAAAATGAAATAAATCTCACATATCCCTTGCACATCTACATCATAGAGTAGTGTATCTTGTTTCCACATAAACTTTAAAGAAATATGTCTCAATAACTGATTATCCAATACTGAGAAGAAAGCAGAGGGATTCATGGAAAAGTGAAGTAAAATATTAAGACACTACTATTTTATAAAACAAATCTTATAATATATTATATAATCTGTAGACGTTTATGACTGCATCCAGTGATTTAACAACGTTAGTGTAGTTTACTAGGGGTATTCACAAGTATTTTTGTGATTAAATAATTTATACAGTAGGATTAGTTGCTTATTTACTTTATTGACAAAGAAGGAAAAGTGAATTCTATTTTTACTAGTGTATTTACTTTGTAAACATTTTTATTTCCGGTCTTTTTATGGTGCCTCAATGAGACAGAAGAGGTAAAATATAACTTTATGATAAATATATCTCGTAATTGTTCTAAAGTATTTTTTTACTTTTTAAGTACCTCTACATTAGCAGAGCCTATTCCAATGTTATTTTAGAATGACCTTATGGTATGGATTTCGGGTATAACTCATTCTTCACAATATTTTGTTGTTTTTTTCATACACAACAATTGGTCGGTTTCCATTACACTGGAAAATCCTGAGAATTGAAGACTATTATGTGTTTTTTTTGTGGAAATTGTTTTCAGTCATAAATGATGAGATTCGCTTTAGAGCTTCAGGTACCTACTTTTTTTCAATACTTGCAATCTTCCCGTCCAGCTCAGGAAATATTAGTGGTGAAGCGAAGGTTCCTTACATACGACTAGTATTATCAAAATCTGATCTGATGATTATTCAATAAACAAGAAAATTATTTTCGTAAGTAGTTTGGTCCACCCGTAACGGGATCATGAAAACTACTTTACAGAATATAAGGCATGTCAATCTTAATTCTTTTAAATAAGTTTAGTTGGCAGCAGTAAGCTTGTCCTGTTTTCATTGACTTTGATTAAAATCTTCCCGTGTTTTTAACAAAACCTCCATCTACGTTGTCGTTTCTCTACTTCAAACAATTTAATTGAACAGTGTGCATAGCGATCGTCACCAATCTGGACAGTAAATAAGTTACTAAAGAGCACAAAAGACTGGACAGATGGAATGCTAACATTGAAAGTTGATACCAAATCTGACTTCGAATTATCCTGGTAATTTTCATTAGAACATTTAATCTGCTTGAAGTATCTTTTTTCCCCAGTTAGTTATCACTATAAACAGATTTTAACACTTTATAAACTTCCTAAGAGTTGCTTCATGGACTTTACTGAAAACAGTAGTTCAGTTCGTGTATTCTTTACTCAGACTATATGGGACGCGTATAGCAAACGTTGGTGGTACACTTCAGTAATAGTTCTGCATTGAACTATCATACAATCTATATATAAGAAATATACAGTAGGGTTGTGTCAACATTGGGTTCTGAGCAATTAAAATTGTCCATTACAAATAGCTAACAAAACCACTAATGATCATTTTCATTTATACAATTAAAACTATCAACAATAGTACCTAAATTAGTGTAATTTTAAGAATTTATTGATTTTTATTTACAGTACATCTATTTACTTGTAAATTAGCACAAAATGGGTTTTTTGGTTACAATGATATTTTCTATACATAAACAAAATAATGTAAAATTATTATTCAGTCATCCGACAATATTTCGTTCTTTAAAAAAATGTGGTATCTTGAAAAATAAACGACAGTATTAAATCATTTATAATCATAGGGACTATAATAAACAAATTAATAATTTTTAAAGATGAAATTGAAAGTAGGAATCATACAGATAAGAAGCAATGTTAAACGTTGTTTGATAAGAGAGTAATTGGCAAGCATATTTTACAAGCACACATTTGCACAACAACAAAAAAAAACTATGGTCTATATTACTTCTAAAAAAAGATAACTATTTAGTAATGCAATGAACAGGAATTTAAATTTACTTGATATTGTTTACTTGAATCTTCCCACTGATGTTTAAGACTGCAACTGATCAGTCCTCTTATTAGTGATACATGTGGATACCGTGTGTATTGCCTTAAGTTACAAGCATTATAAGCAAAGATTGATAGTGGGTAGCAGTAGAATCCAAGACGTGTTTCGTCCTATTTCGGATTCGTCAGATAAATGTACCTGCATCCCATAAAAAACTGATCAATTGCAGTCCTAAAAATCAATGGGAAGATTCAAACAAACAATACAAAGTGAATTTAAACCTCATCCCATTACACAAGCAAGTGGCTATCAGGAC